CTGCTAATGAATCCAATCCTTGCCAATAAACACTATTTTTATGAGACAAAAAGCAAAACTTCAGAAGTCGCTTCAACTTTCGTGTGCAGCAGGTGATGCCATTAATTCGTCATGCTAAAGGGTAAAAAATTAAAAACCCCGTCCATGCAGAAAAAAATAAAAATCATGGAAAAATTGTGAATATACATGAATAAGAGAGAAAAAAAATAAAGAAAAAAAGAATTAAAGACAAAAAATATTTAAGATCTATGCGAAAATGTAATTTATAAATGTAATTAATGCAAATATACTTAATGAAATCGAGGTATATTAACCATTAGCTGCCGATCTGGAGAATTTTCAGTAAATATCCACAAATTCAAACTGTCTAATCATATCATATGAAATATTAAGCAAAGCAGCCCATAGATGAGGAGCAATATCACGTTTATATTCTTGCAGCAACCGTTGTCTTTTATAAGTAGAAGCCGCGAAATGACGACGCAGAACGAACATTCGCCTTCCCTTAAAAAAATAAAGCGCATCTTGTTGATCTTATAATTTATTTAATTGAATCAAATGACTTATCTTTCTTGGATAATTCAAAGGAAACATATTAAATGATTTAAAATACCAAAAAATTCAACAAAAAAATAAAAGGTGAAGTCTCGAAAAACTACATACCTGATATTCGATATTTTTCCTTAAATAAAATAACTATAATTATTAAAGGAAAACGAGGAAATAAGGTTTAGATGGGGAAAATGAAGCGATAAACGGAAATCGTCCGAGCATTCGAACGGATGAAAATAAGGTTGGTAATCCACCATTGTTTGATAGATAATGCCCCAAACCTTCACCAATAACCACTATTGCCACGAATTCCGCTCGACACCAATAACCCAATCGCCGTCTTTGCCAACCTAATGTTGCACCACAGTAATCCCAAAATCGCTTTAAGAAACAATCCATTTCAAAATTCATTAAATTACAGTAATTTCCAGAAATTTTACAACCCTCCTATCTCTCAAGCAAATTCGATTAGCGTAACTTTTATAAATTTTTAAAATTTTAATGTCAATTATTGGAAAATTTTTTCAATTATTGGAAAATTTTTACGAAATACGACAGCAAAAACAATTCTTTTATTCTCCAAATTTATGAAAAAATAATTATAAATAATTTTCATTAAATATTTTACTATTTTTACAAATTACCAATGTAAAGAATGAGAAAACAATTGAATTGAAAATGAAACACACAAAATAATAATGATTTTTTTTATAAATTTATGTAAATTTTTAAATTTTTAAAATAATGTAAATTATAAATTTTTAAATATATTATAATTTTTTCTATAAATTTTTAGAATTAATAAGGTAAAATTTAAAGATGAAAAGAAGGAAAGAGCATTAAAATTTTTACAAAATTTTTATTTCATGTAAACTTCTTTTGCCATTAGTATCAATTAAATAATTTCCTTTAGTGCTGTCCCAAAGGCATGAAACTCCGCTAAGATTTAGCGATTTTGATTTCATTGCACATACGAAATAAAATGTTTGATAGAAATGATATCATTCGTTTGCACGAAGAAATTGCTTTAAGGCAAAATCATTGCTATTTAAATTGTAAAATATATATAGCCTCTCAACTTCATTATTTTATCAATCAAAATTTTTAAATTTTATTAATGTGGGGAATTGTGGGAGATGTGGGAGAATGTCGGAATAGAGGTCGGTTTCCGCGCAATTGGAACTTTCCTTTTCGATATGGGATTTATGCGATACATTCATTATTATTTACTTATTTCTTGTTTGGTCTACGATTTAACGCAACTTTAGAATATTTGGCTATTTTTATTGCTGTGAAACAGTATAAATTTTTGCGCAATCGCCTGTAATTGCGAAATTTTGTATGAAAGTAATTTGTAAATCCGTAAGGCGAACCGGCGATGACGCTGTATTGCCTTCCTGGCTTATTCTTGCTTAACTCAAAAATGAATGCATAGCGATCACCATTGATAGTTATTACTAACAGCAAGGAATAGTCAAGAAAGGATGCGAATGGAGAAGAGTTCTCTGGCTTAAATTTTACTTTCATCTAGCATTTTCTGTGCTTTTGTGCAATTTATGCACTAAGAAATCATCATTTTCATTTTTTAAATTTTTTTACTTTTGGCTTCATTTGACTTTTGAGAACGTTCGTTTCTCTTTGGCTAGATAAACACCTCGGGAACCTCATGGCGGTGGATGTACGGATAAGTTCCCAGCTTTAGCAAGGATTTTGAGGTATATTCACTCATGCCAGAAATAGAACCTCAGCATCGACGCCCGGAGCAGAATGAGAGAGAGAGCAACAATCCGTTGAGTCCCACTTCGGTCCGCTGTTTTTCTCAATTAGATAACATGACAAGAGTGTTGCATCTATGGACTCTGGTTTACCGATGGCAATTATCTTGGAACTCAACCATCGACCTTTTGATAAATATTTCAAAAATATTCCACTCTGTTATTCTGACATTTTCATCTCGAAAATTTTGCACTTTATTCTTGCCAATGCATTACAAATGATATTTCTCAGTTTTAGAAAAGAAATTCTTGTTGAACCTTTTATGCTTTCAAACAATTTATACAATATGAAAGCTATAAATTTACAAATTTACTTATAAATTTACTGCAAATTTACTCCAATCTTATTAAAAATATTCCAATCTTATTAAAAATAAATTTATAAAGTTGAATAAGTTGTTTTATTCAATCAACATTCGATTTGCAAAATATATTTCAATGGAAAAGAACAAAGCTGAAAAGGAATTAAAACTAATACAATATTTAAGAATAGCTTCAAATAATAAACAATTACTCAGAAACCTAGTTTTAAGCAGCAACTGAACCACTAAGCCTGCATGCTTAAACCAAATTCCTACGCCTGTTAATGGAGCCTAATTGTGCGTATAAGTAATGAATACTTGTGGCAATGGAAGCGAAATATGGTAAAACAGGGCAGCCGATTTTAGAAAATCTTTTGCAAGACCAGTCTAAGTTCAATGAATATTCGCGATTGTCGAAAATATTAAACAGAAACAACGTGATTTCGAGTTGTTGCGAGGATATGTGGGAAAATTTGGAGGAGTTAAATGTTTTCAATTACTCTTTAATGTTTTAAAATTATATTATTATAAGTGCCATTGTCAATACTAAATAAATACTAAAATTAAAGCACCTCAACGATTCTTCGTGCAAAAATGGCAAAAAATGCATTTGTTGGCAATTTTTTAAATTGAAGATCAGTGGTGAAATAAAAATATTGTATTATTGAAATAAAGTAAAATCAAATGCCGATATCAATTTATATTTAATTTCTATTTATAAAAATATTTTTGAATACCTGAGAAGTAGAAAATTAAAATGAGAAAGTTATACCATTACTGTTACCAATGTTTTTCTGCAATAGGACCACATCAATCACCTCAATATGGTGTATCTGCATTATTCACTGATGCGCATTATTGGATGCGACCAAAACATATTAATCCAACGTTGCTTAAATGGAGCGACAAAATAGCGAAATTGGAAGGCATAGACCGACATAACAGCGACAACGGGCTTATGACATTTTTATTAGATGATTTCACTGCTCTGCAAATTTCCAATAAAAACCCTTTTTTCGTTTGCAAATGTTCAGGGCTTAGCATGAAGAAAAAGTTTTCTGAACAAATTTTATTACTGAAATTTATGAATTTTAATATTAAATAAATGTACAAATTGTAAATAATAATTGTTAATAATCGAATAAATGAATTTATTAACTGTTAATTGTTACAGAAAAAAGAATTATTGTTGCTTTCTGTGAATTTCTTTATTCATTCATTATAGTAAATGTGAAGTGAAAACGAAACTGCCTTAGGCGTTAATATTGTTGTCAATGCGTTCGTTTGCATTGTTATTCGTATAGTGTTATTGGTGTTATTCACAAAAATTATCGAAAATGCCACAGAAGGATATATTTTTTGCAACTCTCTTCAGGAAGGGTGATTCAAACTCAAAGAATAAAGCATATAGTAATTCAGTCGAATAATCGAAATTTTCGCTAGTAAATTATACATCGACTGATCGATACCCAACGTTGAAAAGAAAATTTCATATTCAACAAAGAATATCTTTTAATTATCCGCTCTAGATGAAATGTAATGAAATGTAAATGCTTGGCTTGTGCTTGGCTGGAATACAAGTTCGAGCTTCGAGTTCTTGTTTGCTACATTTCTACATTAATTAATTTTGTCATTAAAAAATACCTTCGAAAGAGAAATCAAGTGTTTGGTTGCGCCAAAATTTTAAACACTCTCGCAACAAACATTGAAGTTACGTCGTTTTCGTTTAGCATTTGTTCCTCTACTATCCATTCAATCCAAAACATCTTAAAAGAAAATCCTGTAAGTTCCGTTCTATCGTAGAATCAACACTATTTATGAATTTAGAAATATATAAGTAGGAATAAACATTAAAAGAAAATATAAGTATTAAAACAAAAAAAATTCTATCAAGGAAAATATTTTATCACTTGTATGTTTCAGTATATATTTTTTACATATTATGTATTTTTAAACTATGAAAAATGAAACTGAACTTTTTTTTAGATAATTTAATAGTTTTATTTCTTTTTTCTTGAAAGTTTTTCGATTTTTTTTTTCTACTTTATGCTTCTTTTTAGTTCTTTTTTTCACATTTTTCTATTTTTCATTTAATTCATTCAATTCCTGTCTTTGACAATAATAAATCTGGCGTAATGAATTTGAGTGGCTGCTGAGGACCCATCTATAACTTCATACTCAAACGACTCTATGGTGAAACGGTGTGGTCCTGATTTGCATGGTACCCTCAGCCCGTTGGTGCAGGCGACAAATATGCGGTATCATTCTTTTTCATTATATCATGTAGCTATTGTCTGGTTACCAGAATCTTTTCCGTCCTGTCTTAGACATATGAATAAAATTTATTCATACGAACTTCTGAATACCTCAGGCATGAATGTAAAATAGAAATAATTATCAATACAATATGTGGCAAAACAAATTATTTACTCACTAGTCAACCAATACTGCTTTAGCTCTAAAACCAGACTAACTATCAATAAAGACCATAGACCATCACTGATATGAGAAAAATTAATGCTTCCAAAAGTAGAAGACCGAGAAATTCTGGAAAAATCCTTTAAAAAGATCCCTTAAATCCTTTAAGAATCCTTTAAACCCATTTTTTAAATCCACATTAAAAAAGAGAGAAGTTTGTTTGCTTTCAGAAAAGGCGGTTATGCGCAAAAACATACAAATTAACAGCATATTTTTAATACTCGTTTGCCATCAATGATTGAAATTGATGGAGCATTTCTAAGGTGAATCAGATCGACGGCTAATAATCGAGGGCATGAATATTTTTTTGAGATACATACAACGACTGCAAATAAAGCAAAATACGAATTATCCATATTTAAATCTAAAAAACTAATTAATTACTCTGAAAAAATAAATGTCTAACAAATTATAATTTTCAAACTTTTTGATTCAGCAGTGAATTTTAGCAGAGAATTAAACAAAATTTCTAAAGTTTCATTAAATAAACGGAAAAATGATACGATACAATCATAATGCAAAAAATACCAGAAGATCAGAAAATAGAAGATTAGCATCGTTAAAATTTGATAAGATGAATCTAGGCCTCAACTGCTCCATAACAGCTAATCATACAAAGAGACGAAAGGACGAATGGGCCAGAATAACCATATCCCATACCTAAAAATAAAAAACTTGAGTTAAAAATCTAAGCTGAAAAAAATGCCATTATAAAAATCCGTTTTTTAAATCAACATTCAAAGAATCCATAATTTTATTTCCTTAAAAACGAGGGATTCTTATAATTTATTTCCCCGAATAGAATGATTTATCTTTCTTGAATAATTCAAAGGAAATATAATAA